ATTAATGCAGTGACGAGGCATGCAAAATTTGTAGCACTGGCCGGTTAGTGCATGCCTCTGTAAATCCGTCTTTATGAGTGCAAGTTGTTCGTTGACTTAGTCCACACAGTTCTCCAGGACCTCCACTGTTGAATCATCCCTGTTCTCCTGATCAGTGCTGCCTCAGCAGACTCCCGTACCAGATGCACCACGTGTTCGAAACTCAAATGGCCAGTTGCGGTTGCCAACCGATTAAATTGGGTCTTCCTAGCTGTTATACACTGGAGATATCATCGATTTTTCTTCTCGGGACTCGTCCGTTAGCGGTGCATCAAACGGAAGATGGCTTTTTGGAGCACCGTGAAAATTGAAAAGGTGACAGAGGTAATGAGATGATGGACAAAAAGTACGAAACAGCTGCATATTGGTCGAGACGCGCTTGATACCACACGTTATCATGTTACGCGTAACGCTTGCACTGGCCAAAGCACTTAACCCATCACAACATTCAGCGCGAAGAAGAGCGGAAAGAGTACATTAAATAAATGTAGCAAAGAACTGTCAAACTGGCCCACTTGGAGATGTAAATAGGCAAACTTTCCACCGAACCTGAACGTTTGGTTATTCATATCAACATGTAAATTGTCTTCTACGAAGTTCGTTCTAGACAGCGGATGGTAAGAAGAAAAGAGATCACTGACTAGAGTACTCTGATGAAACGGTATAACCCAGGTTTATACAAAGACGCTATACAGCCAGTTGCGACGTGGCTGATACTCTATTCATTGCTGTAATCATTAGTTCCTTGCTTTAAAATTACAGACGATGTACACATACGCCAATTCCAATACATACATGTTACTTGTTACGCTGTGCTGAATTCTGAATTCCTAGTTCATATGGTTATACAGATATACGGGCATAACATAATTCTCACATTTTGGCGTCGCGATTCAAACATTTATTCATGCCTGGCGAAACGGAACCATTAAATTGTTATGTAGCTGCGCGAAGCGCAGACGGATATTCAGAACGGTTGGACATATGGTGTCTTACTAATCCGATCTGAATGATAAGAAAATCACGACGTATTTTCTACATTTTGCTGGCACATAGGAGTACAGGTGATAGAGGATTTATTATATTCTGATTCTCTAATCAATAGTTCGTAAAATGCACTGAAGAAAACGTTTTGCGGCACTTCACGTCGATTAAATTCATAGTAGCCCAAAGAGGCAGGTTTAATATGTTGGTACGCTCCCATTCTCAATCGGCCGGTGATTTCCTATTGCAGCTGCAGACACAGGCAGCCTAACGTGACTGCACTGCCCAATTGGCAGGCCAGCTGTGTGATAGGCTCATTGCCCCCATTCGACTGCACGGATTACAGCAGAAACCGACGCTTTGATCAGATAAAAATTTCAAACTGTTTGGAAAATATGTGAGAAGTACGAAGATGTGAAACATGTCACTAAGACTGATTAAGCAGTGTTGTTAAATTACTCTGAACGAAATAATTCTAGGATGCGTATCCGTACACATTCAAATTATTTGTTCATCCAATAGGTGTGTCACTTACCTTCTGATCCAAATAATGACGAGAGGGCATTCACTGAAAACTTCTCTAGCCTCTCTCCATCTATTTTGTCTGAAATTCGTCACATGTTTTTAAAACCGCTTCATTCAAAAACGTACTTCCATTGTTGACACTGGTGATGTTGGGTTTATTATTCCACAGTCAGTTCTAACAGCATTCTACCACAGTGAGATGATGGTGCCTACAGATGTTGATTTTCACGGTATCACTGGGGACATTGCGTATCCCTATTTGGTAGTTGCGGCATCCCTGTGAGGTTGTTTGAAGTTACCACTGTCGATTGTAATTTTTTAAATTTCAACCTTGGGACTACTGATTACCTGACTCAAAATTCTGTGCTCACTGCAAACCAGTATCACCTCACTGACCTCTGTGAAAGAGGATGACCTCAAATAACTGATTCTAAAATTGTCTAAGTCTACAGGTGGCATGCAAATACCCAAGGTGAGACTCGAAGTCAAAAGAGATCCTATATTTTTCAAGAGGCGAATCATTTCATTCGGCTTACGGAAAATCGTTCCTCAAGCATTAACTTCATTGTGTGTGAAAGAAAATACTGACTCCTGTCGAATCATCGAATTGGGCAACTCCGATATTTGCACAAATAAAGGCTGATGGTATTACTCCGAGAATTTGTGGAGACTAGCGGCCAACGACAAATACTCGGTTGCTAAGATGTACGTGCATAAATAAGAGCCCGAAAATGCACTGTATCGTTTACCAGGTTTAAGTGTGTTCACAAAAATAGATCTAAGGAATGCCCATCTTCAAACACCACTGGAGGAAGCTTCTAGTAAAATTAGCGTGCTCGACACACGTTTTGGATTATTCCGATACGATTTCCTTCTCTTTGATCTCAATGTTTCACCAGCTCCATTTCAACAAGTTATTAATTCTAATATGTTACGTAATGGCTGACTTCTGCTTTAGGTGATGTTACTGACTCCAAACAGCAACTAATTCATTGTACGGGTGTTTGTTTAGTGCAGTCCACATTTCACAAACAAACTACTGTCGCAGCCTGTGATCAGCCGCAGGGGGCATGTCATGTCCGGAATAATTTTTTACGTAAGTATCAAGATAGACATCCGTGGAACGTGTGAATCAACTGTCAAACCGCATCTCCTCGGTGGCGGGGATTCGTCTTTGATTTATTCGTCTGCTATTTTCCGTCAACCTTGCTTTGTTGAGCATCAGATTGTACGCGCATCAAATGAAACCTTGAAAGGTGAGACCCGCAGTGAGTTGCCGAAGGATTTCAGCAATCTTATGGGTAGCAGGTCATTTCAAGAATAGTTGTACAGGTTTTGTTGTGTATCAACCGATTGATCAACTGGCCTGTTTTGTCGCCTGGCTTTTTATTTGTCAGTTCATCCCCAGGTAATCGGTCTGTCCATTATGCTGTTCTCTGTGCGAAACTGCGCATCCGGTGTATCAAAAAAATCTTCTTTGGAGTGCCTGGATAATGATTCTGGACTAGATACATCTAGCCTGGTTTCGAACACTTCCTACCCTACGCGCACGGACATCGACCAGTTGATGAATCTGATACAACGGCATCAGGCTGACAATATTTTATAAGGACAACTGCCCAAAACACACAATTACAACAGCCTCCTTTGCAGTCTGATTATTAGACAAACTAAGGCCTTCCCAACGACCTCACCTAAATATACGATGACGTCTTAAACGGCTGCATGCAAACATATTCGAGGTCGATGAAGCTAATTTTGATGACGCGTCTATATCACGGCTAGGGCGATCACGAGAAACATTGAAATTTGAGCAGTGTGTTTGAGTCGACAGACGACACAACCGTTCTATCTGTGTCGGCCAACTGGCCGAATTTTGTTTGCCATGAGCACCTATCGTGCGCTGGTACTTCAGATATGTGGAGGCGTCTTGATGAGTCCACAAGGCCTGAGAATCCCGACGATTTTACCTAAATACTTTTGGTTTTTACCCAGCGATCTTTTGGCGGCTAGCTTGATGGAAAAACACTAAACATGTTTCGCGACGTTGGCAAAACACGATAAGGAACAGTCGCAATTCATTTTATTTTGGCAAAATCAGGCAACAATATGCGTGTGCATTATGAACAGATGATGTGGACAGAGTCCACGAGGATTTCAGCCTCGTATCCTGCTTTGCAGAGCTCCATTAAATGAGATGTATGCTGGGCAACCTCGGGGACCTGAAGACAGGTAGATAACAGGATAGCAGATATGAAGTCAGTCTAATCATGGAAGCAAAATATTCGCCACGCATGAGAAAGACTTGGGATTCCACATTTTGAGCATAGGTTTCTACTAATGCTTTCAAATAAACAGGAATGTGTATTCACACAAGATTCCTCCTAACGTCCACCAAAAGGAGGAACTGGTCGTCAGCTGTCTAAAACTTTTCAGCAGCCACATGTATTTATGTAGCTTATCTTGCTGTGCCAATAGTGAGGTATTTGAAAAGGTAACGTAAGTCCATGATAAGATATGATGCCATCCTACACAGAATAACCAGAGATTAAGTCAACAGAGATTTGAAATTGCTTGTCAAACATTGAAACTACGATACACACTCAAAGGGAGATGTATTGATATGAACTGATCCGAGTTAATTAGTCATGGGTGTCATCTTCGGCTTGTCTTTCTACAATTTTAACGCACCAGTTGATCCAGCTTTCTGTCGCTTGGACGTTGATTTGTTCGGTAAATGTTCATCGAAATCGTGCGCTTTTGAAGAACAAACCTAACGATTCCCGCCGGATTTTCTGGCAGGATCATGCTTGGGTATTTTCCTTAGCAGTGCTGCAAAACAGTGAACATTTACAAGCAAAGAAACCTCTATTTACGACTGTCGTGTGTCACTCCCAACACCAATCAATCAAAATTTCATGGTGGTTGTGTTATGCTGGTTAGAACTCAATTCTCAATGTGTTCAAACTGAGCTAATTTCAGCAAATCTAAAGTGAAATTAAACTGAATTCAACTAAACTGAACTGAACTGAAATGAAATGAACTGAACTGAACGGAAATGAACTGAACTCAGTTAGCTTCTTTGAACTGATGTCAATCTTGGTATAACCATGTGCACAATACAAGGAACCGGGGGTACCGTTCCATAACACTCTGGATTGTATAAAATTTAGATTTATCTACATCACGTTCAACCTTCGTCCAGTCGCCCTGATGATTTCTGGGGATAACAGAAAATAACTCTCAAAATGTTAAACTGTTGAGCACAATGTTGCGGAATATAATCCAATTACAAGGAAAGAACAAGGATACCAGTGATGTGGGCAGCATATTTCCCCCGGAAGTTCAATTGCTGGAGGTCTAACTAAGAGCCTTACGTGAAGGTAAATGTGGATATTTTGAATGGTAATATACTCATATTTTGCACACCCTTGTTTCCGTGCATCACGAGGTCAACTTGCCTGCAGACTTGTGAAGCAGTGCGTCCGGAATTGATCGAATACTGCCTGGAAACACATGAGCTCATCCTTCTTGGACAAGCCCTTTAGCGTTGGTTTATGATGGGTTGTCACATCCATGACGATGTCACGGAACATTTCCTCGACGATGTGGCCAAGCTGAAAGAAGCGGGATGCGTAGTTGAGGGAGATTTTAGACAGACCATATAAGATTTCTCACCCATCTATACAAATCACGTTTGATTTTTGGGTGGCTTAAAGAAACGAAGATAAAATATTCGACTGATGACGTTTACCTGCTCCCATACATCCTTAATACCTACTCCCCACCACACAACTAGACTCTTAAATAAACTGATATTTTATCGTGCATTCAGTTCCTTTATAGGGATCAACTGGATAAGAAAAGGAAACTACAAACTTGAAGTGCACGGTGTAGCTTTCGCAAAGCGGTTTCATGTTCGTCCTCGGTTGCGGCCTCAGTGAAGCGTCGAGACTTCGTATACAAGTGCGCCTGGCAATAGGGCTTTCTATCTATAGAATTTGGCTGGAACCAAGAAAACAGGTGAGCAACACTTAGTGTCAACAGGAGCTCTGTCGATGCTGGTTGAAAGAATTGACATTCTAGACTACTCAGTATTAAGAAGAAACTACATAAAATCAGTCGGTTGCCAAGGTAACGCAAATTACTGACGAAATATATTCTCTTGTACGTCAGGTTGGAGTACGTAAAACATCACTTAAATTTCCATCGATTTCGCTGAATATCTGAAGCGGGGCCTCAACTCTCATGGGTAGTTTTATGCCATGAAAACATCCAACCAAACTCGTTGAAACAACGATTCCGTTGCAGAATTAGGTAGCAACTTGAGTTAGGCAGGTGGCAAAATTTTTGCTCTTCATTGTCAGTAGTAAACACCTCGGTTCCGTCGGAGGGTGTATTATGAAATACACGCATAATTCCAATCGGTGAAACGCTTGTCAGTTGGACTGATAGGTTTTCAAAATCAGCTCACTGATCATGTCACACGCAATCATCAGAAACTCAATGTGTTTGATCTACGATTCGCTCGCTCCGCTGCGTTCATGTAGATTGGCCGCTATTCATCTAAATACGTGACTACCCATACATCTGTCTGTATATCTGCCTGGTTATCAGTCTGACTGACTGTCTATCTATCTATCTCTCTATCGATCTACCCATCTACCTATCTATGAATGGTAATATACTCATATTTTGCACACCCTTGTTTCCGTGCATCACGAGGTCAACTTGCCTGCAGACTTGTGAAGCAGTGCGTCCGGAATTGATCGAATACTGCCTGGAAACACATGAGCTCATCCTTCTTGGACAAGCCCTTTAGCGTTGGTTTATGATGGGTTGTCACATCCATGACGATGTCACGGAACATTTCCTCGACGATGTGGCCAAGCTGAAAGAAGCGGGATGCGTAGTTGAGGGAGATTTTAGACAGACCATATAAGATTTCTCACCCATCTATAAAAATCACATTTGATTTTTGGGTGGCTTCAAGAAACGAAGATAAAATATTCGACTGATGACGTTTACCTGCTTCCATACATCCTTAATACCTACTCCCCACCACACAACTAGACTCTTAAATAAACTGATATTTTATCGTGCATTCAGTTCCTTTATAGGGATCAACTGGATAAGAAAAGGAAACTACAAACTTGAAGTGCACGGTGTAGCTTTCGCAAAGCGGTTTCATGTTCGTCCTCGGTTGCGGCCTCAGTGAAGCGTCGAGACTTCGTATACAAGTGCGCCTGGCAATAGGGCTTTCTATCTATAGAATTTGGCTGGAACCAAGAAAACAGGTGAGCAACACTTAGTGTCAACAGGAGCTCTGTCGATGCTGGTTGAAAGAATTGACATTCTAGACTACTCAGTATTAAGAAGAAACTACACAAAATCAGTCGGTTGCCAAGGTAACGCAAATTACTGACGAAATATATTCTCTTGTACGTCAGGTTGGAGTACGTAAAACATCACTTAAATTTCCATCGATTTCGCTGAATATCTGAAGCGGGGCCTCAACTCTCATGGGTAGTTTTATGCCATGAAAACATCCAACCAAACTCGTTGAAACAACGATTCCGTTGCAGAATTAGGTAGCAACTTGAGTTAGGCAGGTGGCGAAATTTTTGCTCTTCATTGTCAGTAGTAAACACCTCGGTTCCGTCGGAGGGTGTATTATGAAATTCACGCATAATTCCAATCGGTGAAACGCTTGTCAGTTGGACTGATAGGTTTTCAAAATCAGCTCACTGATCATGTCACACGCAATCATCAGAAACTCAATGTGTTTGATCTACGATTCGCTCGCTCCGCTGCGTTCATGTAGATTGGCCGCTATTCATCTAAATACGTGACTACCCATACATCTGTCTGTATATCTGCCTGGTTATCAGTCTGACTGACTGTCTATCTATCTATCTATCTATCTATCTCTCTATCTATCTATCTATCTATCTATCTCTCTATCTATCTATCTATCTATCTATCTCTCTATCTATCTATCTATCTATCTATCTCTCTATCTATCTATCTATCTATCTATCTCTCTATCTATCTATCTATCTATCTATCTCTCTATCTATCTATCTATCTATCTATCTCTCTATCTATCTATCTATCTATCTATCTCTCTATCTATCTATCTATCTATCTATCTCTCTATCTATCTATCTATCTATCTATCTCTCTATCTATCTATCTATCTATCTATCTCTCTATCTATCTATCTATCTATCTATCTCTCTATCTATCTATCTATCTATCTATCTCTCTATCTATCTATCTATCTATCTATCTCTCTATCTATCTATCTATCTATCTATCTCTCTATCTATCTATCTATCTATCTATCTATCTATCTATCTATCTATCTATCTGTCTATTTATCTATCTATCTCTCTATCTGGAAATTTGTAGCATACCACCTGGATAGGTTTGTCGGAATAACTGTTGTTTCAGTCGAAAGATATTTTAAAAGAGACTATTAATTCAGCTCTTATTTGGCGGTTTTCGTCGATGTTAACTAGAATGTTAGGTGCTTCTGCCACTGAATTTTTTTGATTTTCGTTGGAATGTGAAATGGTCACTTGGTGCCTCAAACATCCGCTGGCGTAAGAAACAGCTGTTCGAATAGACTATTCCAATTATTGAATATTGCGCTGAACACATACTGCTATCGCCCCATCTTTCCGGTACATCGGTAGATCATAATGACCTTGGAATTTTCCAACCGGTAGACTTCCCATCGCCTGAAATAAACAATGAACAGACATCTATCAATTGGTTATCAACAAAGATAGCGTCTTGTTCCATACAATGAAGAAGCGCCTCACCACGCGACCACAATTTCACACCTTAGTACTCAGGTGTTAGTTTTGAAAAACCGGTTGATCAACCTACATCATTTCCGAAACGGTCTCACAATCATCGGTGTGTAGCACTAATATTATCTCCTAAGTGTGCTTGTTCAGGTGCGAGGCAGTCATCGTTCAACCACGGGAAACCACATCACGCGGCCGCATATTGACCGGCTCCTCGAGAGTCGACCTTTCAGAAGGAAGTTTTAGTCATCGTGTATTCTTCCTCTGAGTTTCTTGTAATCTATTCATAGTGTTTCGACTTCCTTGTGTATCGCAGCACAGAAACGTATGAATCATAAGGTACCCAAAAACCATTGCCTGGTTATCCGAAAAGTGACACTGGCTAGGCTTAGATATGTAGACGCTTGGACTAGCAACCTTTCCGAACTTCGTCTATGGAACATGAAGTTCCTAATCAAGTATTTCCAACATTGACCATCACCTTGAACAGTTAACAAAATACAACTGTCATCTCGATAATTACACTCATTTACATAACAGTTCGAATTTTCACAAGTGACCCGTGGCATTTTGTGACTCACCATTTCACCGTATTTCATCACATGACTAAACACCGTAGTCCTTTTTACCTCAACGTATTGTTCCTCCAGTGTACGCTTTTTTAGGTCATTCTGGGTGCGGGTGAGAGATAATGACAAACGGGAGCTATGTGCAGCAGACTGATCAGCTTAAGCAATTTTAAAACGAGTTCGCTATACTAAAAACATTGGAAGTATAACTAGAGTAAAGACAACGGCACATAATGCTGGTAAATTAGTGAGCACCCCGCTATTCCTGGACAGCATACATGCACATACAACATATCATGAGGATCTGATGCTCTATGGGTCTAATCACCTTCATCACCATCACCACCATCATCATCATCGTCGTCATCGTCATCATCATCATCATCATCGTCATCACCATAGAGAGTAACAACAGAGGAAAATGCTGATGATTCCTGCCGTTCAAGTATTCCAAATTGTTTGTAATGGAAGAAGAATTGGTAGTGGAACAGGAAGAGAAACTTAGAGCTAGCCTACAACGTACACCCGAGATACCTACACATCCGACACTTAGTCAGAAAATCTGTATAGAAACTGACAGAATGGACGTAATTGGCATATTGGTTCATTTCGACAGATGTATTGAGACGAAGGCGTTCAGGAGATACACCAGCATCATCATCATCGTTATCATCATCAACATCAATGTCATCACTGTCAACATCCGTAGTCAACATTGATGCTTCCCTGCGGGCATTCAATATCCATTTGAAGCCCTATTCAAAAGAACAGGATCAAAACGGATGGGGAAAATATTTGGTGCTGGCCTACCACAATTATCGCGATGCCCTTACAGCACCAGACAATTACGAAAATGATAACAAGATTCAAGGACAGTCACGGTGGGAATCAGGCGGTCTCCATCGTAGAGCGCGAATGACAGACATTTGTCAGTCTCTTTTATATCACTTTGCAAGATAGAGACAAACCTGATTGGTAGGATATTGGGGGATTTCGGACAAAAAACCAATGGTTTGATTATTTTGTGGCCAAAGAGTGCCGAGAGGGCTTAATTGCCATAAACCATTTTCATGCTTGGAAGCAAAAATGACAGGCTTAGCTGCAACACTTCTGTTAAAACTTACGTATTCCGAATCTAAAATCCAGTCGTACGAGTATTCGTTCGCTAGGCAAACATCGATTTCCTTGTCCTTACAAAAAATAGCATGGGAAGTTTCATCTTCATTGGCTGATGTTGTCACGTAGACTGCAGGTTTAGGGGTTCAGACAACAGAGAGTATGGGTCAATATCAAAGATGTGTGAAAAAGTGAGGTAAATCATAAACCAACGGATCCTGTGCCTCACAGAAATAATGAAGCTGCAAGACGTCTAGAAGTAGCGCATTACACCCAAGGTCGCTGACATTTCATTGAAAGAACATAATGGTTTTCGTGCTTCTTGCGGCGAATCATGTAGATGAAATCCTCGAATTTCCCTGAAACTTAATCAAGATTTGAACCCAGACTGAGCGGAACTTGCCAAATACCCTCATGAACGAGGCGTTTATCTGGGTTCGGTTGGGTCAAAATCAAATAAGTGTGTGAAAGTATAATATGTTTGTGACTGACATTATGAATGCTATTTCACAGGATCAATGCAGGAATCAGCTAGAAATTCAGGCTACTTACTTCCCATATTTGAAGGAAGCAGCCAGAAATATACGCTACTTACTTCCCATATTTGAAGGAAGAACATCTTTAAACATAGAGCCAGAGCAGCAAGTCTCCAGGTATAGCACCAATTTGTTGTACTTTTTTTTGGAATGCATGTAGGCGAGGGTGCTGTTCAACTCCGTGGCATACAACTGTCGCAAGACAAGAAGAAAAAGTTTCGTGAGCTCGAGATGATTCACTCAATGAGTCAGTTGCCAGTGATTTGGATCCCCTGATAGAAGAATGATCGGCGTTATATACCTACTTAGTGCGGATAAATCAGGCTGTTGGTTGGTCGCTCGTGGCCGAACGGTTCCACGTTGCATCTATCAAGTGCCCCACTGATGATTCCCGATAAGGATGGAACCGTTGTACATTGCTTCTCGGCCTTCCATCACAGGCTGTTTTCTCATACATAAATACAAATAGTCCATACAATTAAAGATTAGTAATGTCGCTCTAGGAGCGAAAAGCAGAATATTGTACTCTCTGGAAGAATTTGGTAAACGCGTTCTCCGTATCATCTACGCCCAATGAGCGACCGTATGCCACCATCTTCTTGGGTTATGGTGCATACGTTTGCTCAGCAGTCTGAATGGATCGACCGCGAACTCATCTGAGTCGACCGACTTAAACTTCGTAAAACAAAATCTATGTGACGGTGTAATTTAAAGCACGTTGACGAGAACTATCAAACTCTAATTCCTGTGGATATCAATCTTGAGAGTGACATGCGAACATCGTAGCTTGTATTAATTTTTTCGGTTGGTGTGTATAACAGCTTGACTATGAACTCCCTTTTATAAAGTATTACCGATGTCATTGCACCGACATGTTTACGCAAGCGATTTCAATCCATTCACTATATAACTTCCAATTAAAAAACTGCGTGCTAAAACCGTTACCAAAATTAACGAAACTTACAATATCTTGTAGGAAGGTAATAAAGAAAGTCCCACCATGGCCGGAGAAGAAGATGAACACGTTGTCATTAGGACCGCTGTTATGGGACAGAACGTTTTAGGTGATCTTGAACAAGAGCCTATTGGCTTGCGATCCCACAGATAGGAAAGCACAAAAAGAACCCGCGAAAATGGAAGTATGGCGAAACGAAGTTCAGAATATTGTTTTGTACACGCTGATGGATATAATCTGTATCTAAATTAATTTCCATTGGTCTGCTCTTTGCATGGCCAACGAATACTGGGATGAGAATTCGGATCTTCGGTTAATTCCTATGGTATTCAATGCATGATGTTTGGAAGCACTGTTCCAGTTTAGCAGGTATTATCCTCTTGCCGGTGAAATGGCCACACTCAGACCTTTTGAAAAAAGTACGCTCTTGTTAGCACGATTAAACGTTTAATGAAACATCTACATAATATATACACCACTGAGGAAACATTTTATACACAAGGAGACCGGTCCTACAATTTTAACACGGATATCCAAGATGCCATGTGTTGTTATGCAAATCTGATCCGGAAATTTTCCGTTTGTTGGTCGTTGCTCAACGGGCTGATATTCCGTTCCGTGATCGGAGTGATCAGCTTGCGAATATTTCATCAGCAACCGAAGTTATATCATGCGTGAGTGGTCGGGTTGGAAGTTACTCCATACACGTTTGATATTATACGGCTGTGACTGGCTGAAGGGAGCATACACTTTTCGGGGTCACAATGGTCGATTGCAAACTGTGCTGCGTTGTGGCTGGCATCCCCTGAATTCTATTGCTGCTTCAAGTAGTTTCGGTCTGAAGACTTTTTGTTCGTGGTCTGATTGATGGATTACGGATTTCTAATGTGTTGCATTCTGGCTTTCCACACTCGATAGACTCTCACTCCGACTTCTGGTTTCTTGAGTACATTTTGATTGGTTGTCTCTTAATTGCTGTTGTGCTGTAGACTGATTTATCAGAGTTTGTTTTCGCGAATGCTCTTGCAGTTGATAAAACTTGTTTACTGTGCAGCTGAGTTAACTCACCTTTGATCGGCCATTCTATAGACGATCTCTCTTTACTTCTCTGTCCAAACTAACTACAGGCGGGATCGGAAAATTTAAATTTGTTTATCTTATAATTGCAAAAGCTATTAGCCATCTTTCTGTTCATTAACTTATTAGATCAGTTGAGGAACATGGTTATAGCAGAAAAGCAAACCAACTTCTCTGTCCAAACTAACTACAGGCGGGATCGGAAAATTTAAATTTGTTTAATCTTATAATGCAAAAGCTATTAGCCATCTTTCTGTTCATTAACTTATTAGATCAGTTGAGGAACATGGTTATAGCAGAAAAGCAAACCAGAAAGCGCAAAAATGGACGGAAAAAGATCATATCGAGCTCTCTTATGATAAAATTTTTGTACACCGTTAGCCAAGTTTCAAAAATACACACGATTAGACTCACAATATATAAGTAACAAAAAATATATTTTTTCAATATGCCCAACAAAATATTCTGTCTGCAAATGTGGTTTTGCAGAACACTAGCATGCTGCAGAAAGATATAATGTCCGCGACAGGTGGCGAATGCTTCACACTCCAAGCGACATAAATTGCTACAGATCTATTACCACTCAGCGGGTGAGTTCAGAAATGAGCGTTCGTCAAACTGATTGCCTTGGAAGAGAGAATGCGGGAACGCCGCACAATATGCTATTGTGACGACTGGCGAAACCGCAGCATAAAGCCTATATGAACGGCTACCAGACCACCGCCTTGGAATGGCGACCGAACAAATCACGAGGCTCTAAGTTTCCGGAAGCAAAGCGGAATGACAGCAGACCACCAACTATCATGAAGCTATTGAAGACGGTCAAACACTCAGTTTTCACAAAGGCTTTTATATCACGGGGATTTCTGACAAACTGCGAACAAAGAGGATCGCCTCGCGAGAGCTGAGAATATGTACGGAAACACCCATTGCGGGTCCCTGTACGAAACACCGGTTAATCAGATAACCCGTTTAAAAAGCGGGTGATTACGGATTTCGTCGCAAATGCAAATCCAAACTGTGTATAATTGACTAAAGGAGAGACTTTTTTTGCGAGTGAATAAACATTTGCCTCGTTTCCTGGCTTGCCTCTGTATTCGGACGCTTCCCATCTCGTCATGTGCGGATCACGAAGGCTTGGGGGAATTTCGAAAAACGACTGTAACGTTGGCAACCCACATAGGTGCGACACGTGTCCTGAAAACTGATAGCTTTATGGGTCAATGGTGATACAGATTTTATGGACCGCCATGAACCAACAACGCCGCCAGTGAACTTGGATTTCGATAAGCCAAGCAACAGTGTTTATTTGCGTTGTTCAACACCGTTGGTTAAAACAAATCCTGAATCCGAGCAAACCAAGATCGACCGACCCCAAGTTGTATAACACCAAGCAGATCATAGACCATTAAAATCTGCGCATATATGAATAGTTCCGAAACATGTTTACATTGGCGATTGATTCCTATGATTTAATAATAAAGCATAGTCAGAAATGGATAAACCCGGTTTCCTCTGCAGTAATGGAAATCATTTTGACTGATTTCTGGAGTGCTTACTTAAAGAGATTATGTACCAAGTTACTTACGAGAATACTAAACACGCATTTTGTAAATCCGAAGACGGTGACCTGCAAAACTTGAATTCTGGCTGTGATCAGCAAGTGCATCAACACTATCCACTTCCGAGAGAACTCACCTTCTCAGCACCTTCTTCTTGTTGGCTTCAAGTTTATCATCGCCTCTTAGTACTTTCATGAAGTTAAACCGTGTGATATCCTAAAACGGATGAACATGCATGACCAATTGTTTTTGTGACAGTGATGTTCCACAACACTCACTTTCTTCCCACTAACCATCCACTTTCACCCTAAGAAACAATTGAAATCTAGGATCCGCTCCCCATTTTCATTCTTAATTATTTTTCCGCGATGGTCACTGTATGCTGAAAACTGTAGAATTCAATTGTTAGTCCGCTTACCAAGCATGGCATTTGGATTTGATCCACAAGACTAGGCTTAGTAGTTGAGTTGAACATGGAATAACTGGAAGCACTAATAAGTAGCCCTCATCTAAATCAGTGGCTAAGGAATGCGACATACGTGAGAAATAGCCGCTATCTTGAAGTGAGTATCACTCATCAGCACTCCACTGAACTACAGTTGAATATCTCCTAACTATGATATTCTCTAGCTGAATGTACTGTCCTGGACACGCCTCTCGGTTTATTTGCTGAATCACTCAGGATATCGCAGGATATTTCCTCGAAGAAACTATTTGGGCACTGTGGGTCCTCATGCACATTTCGTGGTTCGTTTTACGGGAATGCTAGCACATTTGAATCGCCAAAAGGCAGAGGTGAACCCGGGTCATAGGCTGCCTCATGGTTCTATATGTCCTTATGACTAGTGTTTGTTCTGAAGTCAGGTGGTGCTGTAACATGAATTTCGGGGTTTGTATTCGTGACTGCTCTTCCGGGTAGTAAAGTTTGTTTATTGTGCAGATGCGTTTATCACATTTGATCACCTATTCTATAAAAATCTCTCTTTCCTCCTCTATCCAAACAAATCCACGGGCAATCGGAAGCATTATATTTAGTCAGCTTAGCATTAGAAAAGCTTTTATCAATTTTGCTGTTTAATTTCTTATTAGATCTGTTGATGAACCTGGTTATAGCAGAAAAGCAGACCAGATGGTGCGAAAGCAGATAACGTAGAGCTCATCTGGGATATACCTTTGTACAAAGTGTGCCAAATTTAATGTACAGACGATTAGACTCTCAATATGTCGTGTAACAAAAATATACCCTTCAAATATGCCTACCGAAATATTCTGTCTGAAAATGTAGTTTCCCAGAAAACTAGCGTGCGGCAACAGATTATACTGTCTGTGTGCAACTGCGAACGAACAGATCGGTTTGCGGCAGCTGGGCATACGTACAGAAATATCCATCCTAGGTCCACGTACATCGGTTTATCAGAAAACACGCACAAAGAGCGAGTGATTACGGATTGCATCGCAGTTCCAAATCCGAACTGTGCATAACCGAACGGATTGAGAGACATATTGCTTGCGAGTGAATAAACTCGGTCATGGGCTGCCTGAGTGTTTTCTACGACCTTATATCTAGTGTTCGTTCACGTGGATTGGCCATTCTATAATATAGCAAAACTGATCATTCTGTTCTGCTGTTTGTATTGTGTTTTGATCCGCAGTGTCATTTTAATTGCCCCTTGTGGTACACGGTGAACTGATGCAGGACTTGACTTGATTGCTGCGCTGTGGAACACGGACTTACTTCTCCACGGTAGTCAATTACCACACCCTTGTATACATCCTCGTGCTGGTATTCATGGAACACTTTGCCTTTAAACGGATTTCTGGAATGAAAGAATGGAAAGAGAAGTTGCCACGTAGATCGGAAAGAAAAAAAGCGAAAGGATAATAAATTGTGTTGGAAGTCGGTTCCCGCGCGTGTCTTGGAATAAATTTTCACGACCATTTGTGAACCTTATGTCACACTTTAGGTTAACTAATAATCCTTTAGGCAGGAATAAGTAAGGTATCCTACAAAGATCCTGACAAGGTGGACAGCAAATAAAGTGACAAATGTGGTGTGAAAAGGTAATTCTCTTGGGTATATTTACTTTGAAACACCACCAGTAGTTGAATTTGTGAGCATCCCCTCATCCAGTGCCATTAAATGAAATTCGATCGGGCAATGAACGACTTAGGATTTTCAGAACCTGCAGGTGAGGTCAAACATTCTATGTCTTTAGAAGGTTTCTTCTGCTTATACTGTCAATAAGCTGTATTACAAAAAGTTAAGCTTACTGGTCTGTCTGCTTAACATTCGCTCAAACGACGAAATCAACGCGATTAATTTCACAATACTTATAAATTAAACGAGGACATCATCACCATCGAGGATATACCACGATGGTTGTAATTTGACCTGGCATCGATTGTGCTGATTGTATCGGGTTTCTGTGGCTTTTATAGTCATGAAAAGCCATGAACGAAGAGAAAATTGATTACACTTCTCACGTGATGCACACAAATTCATAATCACCTGCACCTAAATTTTATCCATGATCTATGTCTACGGAAAATATGGCTCAACAATGAGACGTTTTGAAGTCAGACAACAAAACGCGTTTTGAACATTGTCGTTGCTATCGAATCGGAACATTTATACGTGATATTTACTTGGTCACATTGCGGCGAAACTCAGTGGTAATAATTTGTTACCCACTGAAACTTAAGAATGAATAAAGCCACACTCGTCATGTGCGGCTCTCTGTATCTTTTTCAGTACAATTCTCATATAACCTCATGCAAATCCTTGACGAACGTATTTTATCAAGATGGATTTCTGTATGTTTATTCCAATACACGCTACTTGATATCACCTAGTAATACAGATTTATCTGCTCATATTTCCCAGCTATTTTGGTCCTTTCGCCGCAACAGCCAATGTGGTTGGTACGTCAGTGGTTTTGTTGAGGTTTTTAAGACCTGCGTTATACAACAGGTCACTTTAGACTATGATAATGCGGAGCCCTGGAGCGTTTCTCTAATATAATGGAGCTACAATGTCAGATCAAGCGATTATTGGTGGCTTGAAAGCCATCGAATTTGTGTTTCATACAACACCATACCTTCCACTCACAGGCCGTGATTTCACCTAACATAACGCAATAATAAACATATATGGGTGATGAAAGTCGGATTACGATTAACATGAATCAATTTATGCACCTCGGTAACATCTGGGTTTAAAATGACCGGAGAATCGACCTCACCCAAAACAAAATAGCGTTTTGCGACAGGGCAATACTGAAGGAAACGAATACAGGGCACCAAATGTGTGTTTAGTATTGCGTCTATTAGTTGTGGCTTCTATTCACCGCCTTTTTGACTAAAATATCACAGCCATGGAGACAACTTCTGGACAAAATTATTTTGGATGACCACTGTTGCAAACTTCTACTTTGAGAACCCTTTCTTACGGGATTTAAATGAACTTTTGAGCCTCAAACCAACAAACAACCAACGGAAACTTACTTGATGTCGATAATTTACCCAGGTGTTGGAGCCGGCCACAAGGACAACCCAGTTATTTGACGGATTATCGTTAAATATTGATGACCAATTGTTGAAACCGACAGCTTCTAAACATGGAATGAGGTCAATACTGAACAAGAATGCAATAAGAAGCGAATAACGACGCATCATATTCAGGATTACTTGAAACATCATGCGCCTGGGATTTTATACTGTGCGTCTCCTGTGAATCGAACTTTGCCTTACAAATGAATGGCGATAATGGGAAAAAAATATCCACCACATATCTAATAGGTCTGCGGTACAAAGTTTGTGATAATCAAGGTGTCATAGGCCATTTTCATCAGCTTGCTCAGTGACTGATCATTTATGCAAACTTATTCCAACAACGTGTGCACAATGGTGATTTGTGGTGTTTTGTAGGAGTTCGCTGAGCGCCCATGCGCTTTGGGCAGTACTAAGCAGCAACCTAAATCTACAAATTTGTTTTCACGTATCTGCCGGCTTTATGAGTACCGTCAAAAATCCTTTGGGACTTTAATGCGGGTTTTGCACTAAAACTTCATAGTGAAAACGTGTATCTCAGTTAGAACTGTCCCAGCATCTTCATGATATCAGCGACAAGAAGAAGGCCTTTGTTGCGCAGTAGTTTATTACAAAATGCCAACTGACCAGTTACAGACTATTGGACAGGAAGGCAAACCACTCATATTCATATTAGCTAAAAAAAACTAAACATCCATCTTCCCTTAAACGCATCTTGCTGAACGTTCCTAGATATTATTTGAGTGTATCTCAAGTCCAAGCAAATGGTACAACGCAAGTCCAAAAACACCGCAAAGATCTCCGTTTTCAAGCGAGCTTACAAGAAGAGAACTTTCTACTCACATGCCACCCCCATCAGTAGTATCATCGCTACGCACCTTCATCCTTTGAAAACCGTTCGCATGCCACTGATTTTCATTTACCTTTGCTAGGTCGGCTACTGCAGAGGGTCCAGTCGGCTACATTTTCGGTGTATCATGCCGCTTACGAATCTGCGTCCCATTTATCCTCTTCGGAACCCGGCCTACTTGAAACGTATAGACTGCCCCAGGCGGTCGTTTCTTCCCAGTATAATGCGTTCGTCCATGTGATGAGCACCTCACCATAAGTTTGCGCAATACGACATAACTGCGGGCGTTCATGTGTAATAATAATAATAAATATAAATCAATCAATCAGATGTCGTACCGTTCAACCCAAAGAATTACGAGGATTGAGCTGCCGTCCGATTCTAGTCAGGAGCAGGCGAAACCCAAGGGTTGAGCCCAAACCGCGAACCCCCCGACCCTTAAGTTCGCGCTATCTCGAGCTCTTTAGAGACAATGCTCTTTGATAGTTGTTCTAGGGTTCTTGTTGTAAATCCAAAACCTTGGCAGGGTGGGGCCTGGAGAGAGGTGGGTGTTTCGCTTTTGTCGTTTTCGAAACTCGATCAGTCTGGAAAAAAATTGACATGCTAAGTTCTTTGCGACTTGCTCAATCTCCTATGGTGATAGGCAAAAGACATCATTTACGCTAGTAAACCCGCAACCTAAGGAAGCAAAATAACAATTCACTTTAGTTTGTCCCGGAATTTCCGCCGCCATCTGTGGGGTGACAGCTCTAGTCAACCGCAGATAAACTGTCCAGTATGGCATGTTTTTGTACGTTAGTCCCAAGACAAATATCCT